GAGGTATCACTGATACACAATCTTATATTGATCTCAAGTATACAACATAGTGGTTCACCACTTACCCACATTATTAAATCCTCACCCCCACTGGTGCAGTTATTATCTGTCAACATAGGAAGATGTTACAAGTCATTGTCTGTGTTCTCCATGCTGTATTACCATCCGTGTGACCAACTTACATTATGATTGAGAATATTTGTGCCCTTTTATCCCCATCACCTTTCCACTTAACCACCACAGCCTCTCCTCCATGGTAACCAATAGTCACTTCTCAGTGTCTATGAGTCTACTGCTATTTTGTTCATTTTGTTCTGTTTTTATATTCTGCAAGTAAGTGAAATCATATGACATTTGTCTTTTTCCACCTGCCTTATTTCAGTTAGCATAATATCCTCTAGGTCCATGCATGCTGTCCCAAATGTCAGGATTTCTTTCCAGTTTTATGGCTGAATAATATTCCATTGTATATATGTACCTAATCTTCTTTATCCATTCATCTATTGATGGATACTTAGGTTGCTTCCATATCTTGGCTATTGTAAATAATGCAGCAATAAACATAGGGGTACATATCTATTCAAATAAGGGATTTTATTTTTCTAATAAATTCCTAGAAGTGGAATTACTGGGTCCTGTGGTATTTCTGTTTTTAGTTTTTTGAGGAACCTCCATACTGCATTCCTCAGTGGCTGCACCAATGTATATTTACACCAAAAGTGGAGGAGGGCTCCCTTTTCACTACATTCTTGCTAACATTTGTTATTTCTTGTCTTTTGGATAGTGGCCGTTCTAACTGGTGTCAGGTGATATCACATGGTGGTTTTGATTTGCATTTCCCTGATGATTAGTGATTGGGGTATATTTTCATGTGCTTATTGGCCATATGTATTTCTTCTTTGCAAAAATGTCTGTTCAGGTCCTCTGCCCATTATTTGAGTTATTTGGTTTTTTTGGTGTTGAGGCATATAAGCTCTTTATATATTTTGGCATATGAGCTCTTTATATATTTTGGATACTAACCCCTTACTGGATAAATTATTCACAAATATATTCTCCCATACTGTAGGTTGTCATTTTGTTCTCTTGATAATGTCCTTTGCTGTACAGTAGCTTTTTAGTTTGATGTAGTCCCACTTGTTCATATTTATTTTGTTTCCCTTGCTGAGGAGGTATGTCTAGGAAAAAAATTTGCTTATGCTTATATTCAAGAGATTTTTGCCTATGTTTTCTCTAAGAGTTTTATAGTTTCATGATTTACATTCAGGTCTTTAACCCATTTCAAGTTTATTTTTGTGTATGGAGTTAGACAGTAATCCAGTTTCATTCTCTTATGTGTAGCTTTCCAGTTTTGACAACACAGTTGTTGAAGAGGTTGTCATTTCCCCATTGTGTATCCATGGCTCCTTTATCATATATTAATTGATATATATGTGTGGGTTTGTATCTGGGCTCTCTAGTCCGTTTCATTGGTCTATGGGTCTGTTCTTGTGCCAGTACCAAACTGTTTTGATTACTGTGGCTTTGCAGTAGTTGAGGAGCATAATCCCCTCAGCTTTGTTCTTCCTTCTCAGACTTGCTTTGGCTATTTGGGTTTTTTTGTGGTTCTATATGAATTTTAGGATTATTTGCTAGCTAGAGCCTCCAGTACTATGTTGAATGAAAGTGGTGAGAGTGGACATCCTTGTATTTTTCCTGGTCATAGAGGAAAATCTTTCAGCTTTTTACCACTGAGTATGATGTTAGCTGTTCATTTCTGTTTTCATTTGTCTCCATGTATTGCTTGACTTATGTTTTGATTTGTTTGTTAATCCATTGATTGTTTAGAAGCAGGGTGTTTAGCTTCCATGTGTTTATGGGGTTTTTTGTTTTCTTCATGTAATTTATTTCTAGTTTTATGCCATTGTGGTCTGAGAAGTTTCTTGATACAATTTCAATCTTTTTGAATTTTTTGAGGCTCTTTTTGTGGCCTAGTATGTGATCTATTCAGGAGAATGTCTCATGTACACTAAAGAAATGTGTATATTCTGCTGCTTTGGGGTATAATATTCTGTAGGTATCTGTTAAGTCTATCTGATCTAATGTGTTGTTAAGTGCCTCTGTTTCCTTATTTATTTGCTGTTTGGATGATCTGTTCTGTTGATATAAGTGACATGTTAAAGTCCCCTAATATGAATGTGTTGCAGTCTATCCCCCTTTTGTTCTGTTAGTATTTGTTTTACATATTTAGGTGATCCTATGTTAGGTGCATAGATGTTTATAATTTTTATATCCTCTTGTTGGATTGACCTCTTTATCATTATGTAACATCCTTCTTTGTCTCCTGTTACTCTCTTTGTATTGAAGTCTGTTTTGTCTGATATAAGTACTGCCACTCCTGCTTTTTTTCTCCCTGTTGTTTGCATGAAGTATCTTTTTCCTTCACTTTCAGTCTTTGTATGTTTTTGGGTCTGAAATGAATCTCTTGTAGGCCATATAGATGGGTCTTGTTTCTTGTTCCATTCTGCCACCCTATGTCTTTTGATTGGTGCATTCAGTCTGTTTGTATTTAAGGTTATTTTTGATAGGTATGTACTTAAAATTGACATTTTATTAATTGTTTTCTGTTAGTTTTTTGTAGTTCCTCTCTGTTTCTTTCTTCCTATCTCATAGTCTTGTTATATGATGATTTTCATTAGTATTGTGATTCGATTTCTTTTTTAAAAATTTATTTTAGAATAAATTCCATTAGAGTAATAAAATAATAGTGTATCTATTATAAGCTTTAGGTTTGTGGTTACCATAAGGTTCATCAATAGTTTTCTAACTATGTAACAGTCCATATTAAGTTGATAATCACTCTATTTCAAACACAGTCTACAAGTACTTCTTTTTTTCTTCTCCTTTTCTTTCACACTTTATGTATTAGATGTTATAATCTGCATTTTTTCTGTATCCCTTTCTTGATTTTTTGTATAGTTGGTTTTACTACTTTTGTTCTAATTTCATACTTGCTTGGTAAGTAATTGATGTACTACCTTTACTGTGGGTTTATTTTCACTGGTGGAATCTATTTAGGCTTAAGAACATTTCCACGTACAGATATCCCTTTCACATACCCTGTAATACTGGTTTAGTGGTGGTGATTGTCACTTAATTTCACCTTTCAGACTGCCGAGGGTCTATAAACATGGTTCTATGATTTATTTAAAAACCTCTCATTAAAATTTAATTGTAGTTGATTTTTCTTTTAAAGGCTTTTTTTAACAAAAAAGAAAATTTTGCTACTTTCATATTCCTGGAAATTTCCTAAAACAAAGAGTTTCCATCTTGTTTAACTGAAAAAATAACTTTGGATATACAATAAAAATTAATATTAATTAGTTTCTCTTGGTATTATTGAATACATTCTTGTATTCAACATTGTTGCAGCTGCTAAGGAAGTAAAAAAGAAATATAATTGATCCATTTAACATATTAAAAAATACCCATATATCCTAAGCTGGCACTGTAAGGATAAAAAGAGTTTACTGAGATGAAAAAAAGACAGAGCTGAGGAGCTGCAAGCCAGTTGTAGAAACAGGGGATACTATACTGGGCATTGGAATAGTGTATTATATTGAATGTTATAGGTAAAATAAATTTTACTGCTTGTTCATTCACTCATCAGCCACCTATTAAATGCATAGTATAGTAATTTTTTAACCTCAGTGTTCTGCATTGTATCTGTTCATTATAACCTATTGACAAAGGAGCTGTATATTTTAACCATACCTCGTATGCCCTTTGTCCTTGGTTTCTCAGACAGTGTGTCTATGAGAAAAATATAGAATTCAACTTATATTACCTTGTATTATATTCTTAGAATTCAATGCAACAATAACTAATAGAAATAAATTCTATATGGGGAATATAATGCTTTTGTTCAATTAACAATTTCTATTTTATGTGTATCTTCTAAACAATGTTTTTTTCAAATTCCAACTGCTGTATAAATTTAAAATTTTACCTTTCCTTTTATTTCTTTTAAAGGAATAAAACAAATCTCAAATTTTTGAACACAGAGCCGCTGTGAGATGGTTCTTTATGGTTTAGAAAATCACTGATAGATCACCCCTAAGTCCATGTTGCTTCATAGTGTTGAGCTATACATATCCTTAGAATTACAAAAACATTTTTCTATTGGATAAAACTAGCCAAATATGCTTTTTGTGCTTGTGATGTAAAGACAAGATTTAAGTTAACTCCAGTGACAAAGGCTTTTAAAATTTGGAATAGCATACTACTGAATTAAAATTCTCTTCATGTGTCATTTTACATGGATAGTATTGTAAGACATGTAATGACAGATTAGGACCTGCCTAGCAGAGGGAAAACTAAATTACACGACTTTTATTAAGGTATAAATAAACCTATTAACCATTATCTGAAATACCAATTAGCAGAAAGCACACTGGCAATTTTATTTATCAACATTAAACACAATTATTAATTACAGACCTGATGAATCTAGAAGTAAGCAGTCCATGTTGGATATGCTGGGACCTTAAGTCCATTCTATGAGAAGGATGATTACTGAAATCCTGTGAGGAAATAAGTAATTGTAGTTGTGAAATTTTAATTGCTTTGGAATAGGCAAATTATATTTTCTTGCCTGAGAATATAAATAGTATGACATTAAGGTAACAAGCTTCTGTAGTTGTAAATAGGAAATGAATTTATGCTAGGTTTTAAGAGGAAGAAAAAAGTGATGTATTTTTTGTGTCATAGTGTTCAGTATGAATGACATATTCTAATGCATGCAGATTTTTTTTAGGTATGTTGTTTAGTAGGTGAGCTATTTTCTGCATTCCTTTCTTCGTAGTGGAAATTTATGTGGGAGTGGACTTTGTGAATGAATTACTGCAGGTGAATGGGAATAGTATAATTGAGACAATATTTTTATTGTGTTCTGATTGGCAGTGTTGTAAAATTAACAAGAAACAATTTACATTTTTCTGTCTTTTTTTCTTTCTTTGAAGATCCAAATTCCAGAATTTGTGGACATTTACTCATTGGTGCAGCCAAGAATTCTTTTGCAAAACTCATGGATAAAATTAGTTTGGCAATGGACAGTATACCTTTACATAGTAGCAGGAGTATTACATACATAGCAAAAGATTCCCTGGTTCGAAGGTTGGCCCATGGACTTCATAAAGTAAATACCCTGGCTCTGAAATACGGTCTTCGTGGCCAGGTGCCCATTTTGGTATGTATGCAGTTTCATTAAACAGTGACTTTAGGACTTGTCAGACTTATTTGTAGTTTAAGTTAGTTGTATGTGAATGTATGTAGATTTCCTTTAGGTTTCACATACCTTTTAATGCAATAAATAATAGCACTTCCAATTAAGTGTTCAAAATACCAAAATACAAAAATTCTGGTGTGAAATCTAAATTTACTGTTCTCTGTAAGTAGAACAGAATTGTATGAGACAAAAACAAATGTCAATTCCATTTTCTAGCCATCTAGGTCATTTCTTTTCTCCAGTTATTCATTTCATATAAGCTAAATTATAGGTCACATAGAAAATAGAGCTTTCACCTGTAAGTTTTAGTAATAACTGGTATTGTTCTCTGTGTAATTTGTTACATTTAAGTTGGTAAAGGAGTCATTGCTATTGATTTATTAGTGAATCTGTAGTTACTGATTGTAAAATCTCTCTTGATTAACAGAGAAGCACAGCATCATTGCAGAAGCAAATACTTGGGTTTACACAAAGACTGCATGCGGCAGAAGTGGAGCGCCGCTCCTTGCGCTTAGAGGTCACAGAATTCAAACGAAATGTGAATGAAATGAAAAAGGAGCTTAACAAAGCCCAGGGTCTCCAAATGCAATTAAATGAATTTAAGCAGTCTGTAAGTATATTTGATTTAAAATGCTATGACTTTGGAGAGCTCTCCTCTGAGATGCATATGTTTTCTTTAACTTTTTTCTTTTAACCCTTTATTATGTTTGTTTTTTCAAATAATTCAAAGTTCCATTAATAGGGTTTTTCTTCAGAAAACTTCCCTTCTAAAATGCCCCCACAATATGTATTATACACTTTAAAGTTATTAAGAGACTAGATGTTAAATGTTCTCACCATAAAAAACAAATGGTAATTATATGACATGAAGGAGAGATTAACTAATGCTATGGTGGTAAATCTTAATTCCATATATAAGTGTTTCAAATCAACACATACACCTTAAACTCATGTTTTAAACTTAAACTTAAAATTGACAGCGTTATATGTCAATTATAGCTAAAAAAAAAATGTTATGCCAGATGCTTAAAGGAACACTGATTCTGTGTCAGCAGAACTCACAACCTTGTTAAAATGTATGCTGTGACTGGAAGTGTAAAAAAGATTGTTATAGTTAGATTAGAATAACTGCTTTAGCAAGCAAATCCTCAAATGTATAATAAAAAATAAAAATGCCCCCAAATGAGGAACCTGATGTTTGGAGTAGGGGGTGGAATTTCCTGCCTTCCCTTTTGATATTGAATATTTTTTAGTAAGTTGGGTTATTTGGTATGAAATTAGATTGCTCTTCCAAAGAAATATTCAATTTGTCTAACTTCCATCGAACATTTATATGTATTTTTAAGAAAGGAGAGTATAACTGATAGAAGGCTGTATGCTAAATAACATTAGATGAAGATTATAATGTGTAAATATGTGAAACACAATAAGATATCCACATATTCTTTTTGCAACTGGGTTAGTTGTTATTGCTGTTTTTAATATGGATAAAGGAATATAGAAATAAAAGATTAGCCCAAAACTTCAAAACTGTATATAACTGATGACAGGTAACATAAATATGAATATGAAATTCATTTCTTAAACCTAATAGAATGCTAATTTTAGTACCCCCTTCTTTGGGAAACCTGTTTGCAAGTCGAAATTCAGTTTGAATGTACTTTTAAATGGTTAATTTGGAATTTGCAGTTTTAATTGTGGAAACAGAGACAGTAGCAAATAGCAGTTTAGTTATGAATCCTGACATAGTTTAAATTGCTAGTGTTAATTATCATTTCAAATAGCTATACATTCAAAGGGCAGAAACCTCTTGTAAATTAGGCTGGTCAAGCAATTGTGAATTACCCTTCTGATTGGAGATAAGTAATAGTTTTCTTAAGAGCAAATGTCTAATGACAACAGTCTTTTCTTTATTTTCTTAGTTTTTTGTTCAGAGAAGGTAAAATTTTGTTCAGAGCTGCTTCAACATTTTTTTTTTTTTTTTTCCTTTTATTTTTTTTTTTCTTTAATTAATTTTTTAAAAATTTTTAAAAAAGGAAACTCGAATCAATCTGATCATACCACCTATAATCAATCACTGTTGAAATATGGATGAATTTTGTTCCCCTTGTTTTTCTTTGTGTATATGTGCATATGCATGCCCTTATGCACAGTTGTAGTTTGGAATGGTTTTGCACATACAGATTACAATAGATAAAAAACCAGTTTCTTAAAGCATTGTAGACATTTTTTTGTCACTTACAATTAATTTAATTTTAGGTAAAAGAATTCTATGCTATCATACAGATATATCAAAATTTATTTGATTATTCCCCTATTCAGAGATGTTCAATTTCTTTCCAAAATTTTTTTTGCCATTATACTTAAATCATAAAGAGCATAAACAGCTTTTAAAAGCCACTTCTTTTGGAGTATGTGTCTGCCTCCTTTTGATTTGCTTTCAGTTGTGTATAGTAACTAAATTTAGGAATTTGAGGTGGTATGCCAAAATGGAAAGAGACACTGATTGATGCAATTTGAGATTTAGAATATAGAAGTTATATTTAGGTTCAGATAGTAGTGGCTTTCCTAAAGATTAGAAGATTGTGTTTTTGTTCCCTGGAATATGTATGAATAATTCTTGATATTCTACACAATATAATTTCCTAGTTCCCAAATAAGTATTAGGAAAGAAGTTAACATCTTATCTTTGATTGGTTTGAAAGTAGGACATAATTTCTAGAATCTAGAGAGAAGTTTGCAGTTTGAAGAAAAGCTGCTGGAAGGTAACAGAATCTTCTTGTAAGGACTTTGGTTGGATACCTGGCTTGGCAGCAAACACTGAATATGTTTCAGGAAATGTTAAGTGTGAATTATTTCCATTGAAGTAGAGAGAAAAAAATAGGATCAATTGAAGTAATAATTGATAGAATGAGATATGTAATTTTTGTATTTCAACATATAATTGTAAGGTATAAAGTTATAAAGTGATGATTTCTAACATTAAATTACCATATTGACCCAGTATGAAGCACTGACCACAGAACTTTAGGGTGATGATTCATTTAGTCCTCTAATACTAATAACAATTCAATACTATTATTATCCTTATTTACAGATGAGGAATATGGAACACAGAGCAGCTAAGCAACTTGCCCAAAGTGGAAATAACATGATTTGAACCTGGGTAGTCTGGCTTCAAAATTCATACTTTTAACTACTTTACCATAGTGGTTAATGTGCCTATCTAGTTATATTAATAAAGGATTGTTTTATCAAAACAAAATAAAGGGAAAAATGGGGCTGTTTTCCTCTAAAAAAATTGGGGAGTGTGCTGCAACCATCATCTTTCACGGATTTCAGGCAGAATGTGTAGGAGGAAAATAAAATAGTTTCTTTATAGTTGGGCTAAAATTGTAACATAAAGGGAAACATCCTAACTGGCAAAAGCCATTCAGTATACTTTCATTGTTTTGGAATACCACGGTCATCTACTGGCGGTTTTTCTTCAACAGCTAGCTCCCACGATTTTGTTTTTGGTTTGTTAGCTCCTTACAATGGCTTTCACACTCCATCTCCTTCTCATTCCCTGTTGCTAAACTTGTTTGATCCTATTTACTTGTAGAATTGTGAACAGAATTGAACCAGTCTCCTGGAGGGATAGACAGACAAGAGAGAGGCTAAAATTAGCCAAGTTTTTAGTTGAAGGAGAAATAGTGGATGACTGAGAAGAAGTCCTGCAGAATGATGGGAATCTTGATTTATCGAGGTCAAGTGATTGCAAAGGACAGAATGATCTGATGTTAAGGAGTGATAATTTAAAGCTACATAACTAAAATGTAGAAGTACAAAAATATATTCATAAGACTTGGGAAGGGTGCTCTGGTATCAGGGAATAGAGGGATCTTAGGAAGTTGAAATGGAGCAGGTGGAGTGCCAAGGGGAAGTTTTTAGAGTGATAGTTTGAAAGTGGAGAGTTTAGTTGTAATAGGACAATATGGAGAGTGAGGCAGCTGTTTAGAGAGTAAAAAGATAAGTGTTCCCTAAAATTGAAACACTGTGCAAGTATCAGTGATGTGTTAAACACACCTTTACTAGATGTGAGACAATGAGGCAACTTTCCTGTGGGCCTTGTGATCAATCTTATTTCTTTGTATTAACTTAGGAAGTCATTGGCATCTATTTTTATGCTATACCTTTGCTGTTGTTTATTTCCTTCTTTTAAAATTTAATCACTGTTGAGGAAGTCATTATATGCATGTTTGAAAATGCAAATAATACTAAAACACAGTTGCTTCTGAGTGGTAACAGCTAAGGTGCCAGGTGCCAAAGTAAAATTGAATGCTTATATGTGATGATATAGAAAAACCCAGTAACAAACTTACCCCCAAACTTAGTTCCAGTAAAGGTTTTCCTCTCAACATGAACTGCATGACTACTATTGTTAGTCTACAAGGAAACTATAACTAAGCACATTTTTGTTTCATTTGTCAGAAAACTCAGAAATAAAGTCCACATTCAACTGCAATAATTTACATATTCCTAGGATCGATAGGATTTTTATTGCTCTTCCCTGCCCCTAGCTTTTAAAAGTTTAAATGAATTTGCTTTATATTTGCAGTTAATTATACTGTCCACCTTAAAGTCTTTTCAACAATGGGAAAATGATCAGCCTTACACACACACACACACACACACACACACACACACACAGTGATTAAGTGGCCCGCATGGTTCCTTTTAGTTTTTCTTATATATTTCTCAGGTTACCTTTGTTTAGTGAAAACATTCCTTTCCTTTGTACTTCAAGATGTCTCTTGCTGTTTGTTATAATTAATTTTCATTTGTTTAAATGTTTTGAACAGGAACTAATACAATTGTGTCTTGCCCTGCATGCTGCACCCCTTAAGATATGGCCTCTTCTAGAACTGTCATTAGTTAATCCCAAAGCAGAGTGCTCTCCTCTCCAAAGCAGTTATGATACTGTATTGTATAGTCTGGTGCACAGCTGTATTGGTAGATGTTTTTATATGAATAATCTTTCATTCAGCAAGTATCTACTGAGCACCTACTAAGTGCAGGCATTCTTCTGTGTTTTGGGTGAACAAGGTGAATGAGTCCCTGACTGGGAGAGCTCACATCCTTAAATGTGTGGTTGGTGTCAGGGTGTGGGCAGACAATTAAAAAAAGTTATACTAGATCAATTTAGGTAAGGCAAATGTCTGTGAAGAAAATAAAAGAAGATGACATGATAGCGGGAGCAGTGGTGGGAGTCAAGGAGGTGTGGTCTGGTAAGGACTCTCTAGGGAGGGGATGTTTGGTTAGGGAGACCTGATTGGTAATGCATACCAAACACAGACTTGTAGGTAATCATTTAAAAGCATAGGAACTTGTTAAAGGCTTTAATTCCCACAGTCATACTTTTAATACAAAAAAAACTGATGTGCCAAGATTGAAACGGAGCATTATGAGTTTATTTAGAAATTGAAATAAGTTTCCTAAGGCTTAATTTGACTAAAAATGTTAACTTTGAAAGTATAGCTCTTGTGCTTTGAAACCCAAAGTGATTTTACCTTGACTTATGAAATTAAGAAAAACAAACTGTACTTTCATCATTTATCAGACATTTAGGGATGTTTGTATTATACTCTGTATGTTAGCAATATAGTTCTGAAGATTAGATGATACAACAATGCAGTTAGCTTATAACTAATTTTTGCCCCCTTTTTTCAGAAATTGATCACCCATGAGAAGTTTGAAAGTGCCTGTGAAGAACTGAATAATGCATTACTTCGGGAGCAACAGGCACAAATGCTGTTGAATGAACAGGCACAGCAACTCCAGGAGCTAACTTATAGACTTGAATTGCATTCCAGTGAGGAAGCTGACAAAAACAAAACTCTTCGAGAAGCTGTTAAGGTGGGAAAGCATCCCTTGCACAATGGTTTCTTCCCTCTAGGTGTGGATCTTTGAAGGATCATGTGTATTGCCTGAATAGGGAACAGATCCCAAGATAGGAAATCTTATTCTGCAAGAGCTTATAAGGATGGAATGAAACATAGTTCTGGGACCACAGTTCCAAGTATGTGTTTATATGTATTGAAAATGTAAAAACAATTTTCACTTGCTAGTTGAAAACCAAGTGGAGAATTTTCTAGTAATAATTTTCTTCTTTGTTTCATTTATCTTCCTTGACTCTTAACTCTCTTCAGTTCTTTTTCTTAACTTGTTTTTAGCCCTCTGGAGATTGAAACTCCAAATATCTTTTGGATTTTGAGAGGTTTTGGGTCTGGGTCTCTCTGAAATTTCCAGGTATATCTATGATTATTTCTTCAGGATAAATTCCTAGATGAGGAATTACAAGGTCAAAAGCCATATACATTTTAAAGTGTAAATATTAGTATTTGGCCTACAGAAAATTTTAAAAAAATTTTTTATTAAGTTATTTTTGATATACACTCTTGTGAAGGTTTCACATGAAAAAACAATGTGGTTACTACATTTACCCATATTTTCAAGTCCCCACCCATACCCTAATGCAGTCACTGTCCATCAGTGCAGTAGGATGCCACAGATTCACTGTTTGCCTTCTCTGTGCTTTTCCCTGTGACCCCCTCACACCATGTGTACTAAACATAATACCCCTCTATCCCCTTCTCCCTCCCTCCCTACACACCCACCCTCCCACACCCTTCCCCTTTGGTAACCACAAGTCCCTTCTTGGAGTCTGTGAGTCTGCTGCTATTTTGTTCCTTCAGTTTTGCTTTGTTGTTATACTCCACAAATGAGAGAAATCATTGGCACTTGTCTTTCTCTGCCTGGCTTATTTCACTCAGCATAATATTCTCCAGCTCCATCCTTGTTGTTGCAAATGGCAGAAATTGTTTCTTTCTTATAGCTGAATAGTATTCCATTGTGTATATGTACCACATCTTCCTTATCCATTCATCTACTGATGGACACTTAGGTTGCTTCCATATATTGGCTATTGTAAATAGTGCTGCAATAAACATAGGGGTGCATATGTCATTTTGAGTCTGAGAAGCTGAGTTCTTTGGATAAATTCCAAGGAGTGGGATTCCCAGGCCAAATGGTATTTCTATTTTTAGATTTTTGAGGAACCTCCATATTGCTTTCCACAATAGCTTACATTCCCACCAGCAGTGTAAGAGGGGTCCCCTTTCTGCCCATCCTTACCAGCATTTGTTGTTCTTAGTCTTTTCAATGCTGGCCATCCTTTCTGGTGTGAGGTGATATACCATTGTGGTTTTAATTTGCATTTCCCTGATGATTAGTGATGTGTAGCATCTTTTCATGTGTCTGTTGGCCATCTGAATTTTTCCTTTGGAGAATTGTCTCTTCATATCCTCTTCCATTTTTTAATTGAGTTATTTGCTTTTTGGGTGTTGAGACATGTGATTTCTTTATATATTTTGAGGTTAACCCCTTATCGGATGTCATTTACAAATATATTCTCCTATACTGTAGGATGCCTTTTTGTTCTGTTGATGTTGTCCTTTGCCTTACAGAAACTTTTTAGTTTGATGTAGTCCATGTGTTCATTTTTGCTATTGTTTCCCTTGCTCGAGGAGATGTGTTCAGGAAGAAGTTGCTCATGCTTATATTCAGGAGATTTTTGCCTATGTTGTCTTCTAAGAGTTTCATGGTTTCATGACTTACATTCAGGTCTTTGATCCATTTTGAGTTTACTTTTGTGTATGGGGTTAAACAATAATCCAGTTTCATTCTCTTGCCTGTAGCTGTCCAGTTTTGCCAACACCACCTGTTGAAGAGGCTGTCATTTCCCCATTGTATGTCCATGGCTCCTTTATCATATATTAATTGACCATATATG